CATCATTTTGTTCAAGTATTGGAATTGAAACTATAAGTTGGTTCTGAAGAAATCTCAATCAGTTTGAAAGAAAACACTCAGATTGCTAGAACAGAAATGTCTTTCTAATGTGATCTTAATTTCTTGAATTGAATATGGCAATAGGCCTGTAACGAGATATTCTAAACATTTCAAAGTTTTCTGATAACATTATGTACACATCCATAAAATTTCAATCATATGAACAAATAGTAAATTATTTCTATATTATGTATTTTATTTGGGTCTCTTTATTTGTAAAGTGTCTACATACCATACTGTCAGTACTGATTATATGTAAACAAATTTGATTGAAGAGTATTCCTATTGTGTATCATGTTGTTTCAAAAGCTTTGTGTTTGAATGTCATGCGTTTTTGTAGCTCTCTATCTCAATGAATATACATTCTACTGTGTCATGGTACACACTCATTTATAGAGAATTTTGTACTCATATTGCGATGCGGTGAGCAGTTCTGAATTGTACCAGAATTATTTTTTCTATTCGAATCTAAGCGAAATATGGACAAACAAGTAGCTATTCTGACAACTGGCGTAATGAATAACGTCAAAGTCCGTTTCAAAACCAACCCCACGCTAGTTTTGAATCATCATGAATACGTTTCAAATCATAGTTAATGTGACGTCATCGTTTCAAAGCCAGAATGAATTTATTTGAATCACAGACGAATACGTTTTGAATACATGAGCACAGTATTCTGTGACATACGCGCCAGAAAACGCCTAAAATGTCTGTAACTGAAGGTTTCGTAGTCCGTAGTATTATGGTGGACATGCTCCTGTTTTAATTTTTCAAGAGAATGATTGATCTTTGGTATACGGAATGTTTCATGAAAATGAGTCAAAATAGCCTCGGAGTTTCAAGACTATCCAAAAATACAGAATGCTCCATTCGAAAAAAATGAGTTTTGACCCATTTTTATATCTTTAGAATAAAGTGTATTGCATAAACTCACATCAGAATTATGCCCTGGTACTCAAAAATGTGAAGTTGGTACCAAGTTCCAGTATAATTGTAAGTTTTAGAAATAAATTAATATCTATCTATCTATCTATCTATCTACCTGTAGTATATAGTATATATGACTTGCCATAAATGTAATTTTGTATATAAAGTGGTCAAATAAATTACTCTACTCTACTTTGCCGTGGTCTTCTTTGGTTACAATATCCAAACGTTTCAACTGCAGCTACGGCAGTCATCTTCAGTAACGTGGTCGAAGTACTCTTCTTCTTGTATCAACTGAAACTGAAGCTCTCATTTCTGCCATCTCATTTATAATGCTGATTTTTCGCGCACTTTCTGTAATGGTATTTCCCGCGCGATTTGGGTGAGCCGACTTCGTTTTGGCGCCTCTCAATGCTGTGTGCCATATCTTTGGCGCCAAAACGTAGCCAGATCGCCCAAATCACGCGGTTAGTACGCGCGTGATTTGGGCCATTACAGAAAGTGCGCGAAAAATCTATAAATGACTGGCAGAAATGAGAGCTTCGGCTTCAGTTAATACGTCAAGAAGAGTACTTCAACCACGCTACTGAACATGACGAGTAATTTCTGTATCTGTTACTTTTACAAAAATGTGTTGAGCAAAAAGATGGGCTGACGTAAACGCGCCACGTGACTAGGTGGTTTGTCTCGTGGGATACGTCTGGTTGTCTGCTTGAATTATTTATGTCAACAGAAAATTCAAAACTCCCGCCACGATGTTCTGAGATGCAGAAGCGTGTACTCTGATTAGCTGGCGAGCTGCGTGATAATTTGAGAATGCTACGTGACAATTTGGTAGACTCTGATTGGTTCACCGCTCAGCTAGCTGGGTGACAGGACACCATGCGATAATTTGGTGCACGCTGGTTGCCTAGGCGAACTAAGAGGCAACCTGACTGGTGTTTTGACGTCACTGGCTAGTTCGCTACGTTCGTTATTTTTGAAACGGATCAGTTCTTTGCCATCTCCATCTCTCTCTCGCCTGGGTAGCCACAAAAGCGCAGGTTAGCTGGACACTACATCCGATTGGCTCACCACCTAGCTGACACCACGTAAGTGTGTACTCTGGCTGGTGTGATCACTGATTCAAATGGCGCTTATTTCGATTAAATTGAATAAGTATCTACCAAGATATTGCAGCTTAAAGAAGACTCATCAAAACGGGCAAAACTTTTGAAACAACATAATATTTTGATTACACTATTGTCAATTTCAAATATTTCTTTTTTTTTGTATCCAAAATTGTATTATTTGTAAGACTACCCTAAGTATGGTGCAATGCATTTTTGGCTCTTTTTTACCGTCTCCAGTAAATCGAAAAAAATAAATTACTCCACAAAAATAGCTCAATGTATTTCATTGTCTTTCAAACATCAAAAATATAGAAGGATTTTACTTGAAAAACTCAATTATTAGAGTATTTGAAGAATTCGTTAATTTGAAAAGGCAAATATACAAAAGAGAACCCAAATTATAATCAGAGACAATTTTAAAAAATTGCAACAATAGCAAACAAACTTTATCTTCTAGGAAAAACCGATCACCAAGAAACTTTTAAGTAAGAAAATTAGACATAAACCCAAGAGAGAACCCTTCGTACCTTCTTCAAGTGAGAAAGCTCCAAATCGTCTTGATAAATTAAGTCTACTGGATGAGAGTGGAGCAAACTGAGAACATAACGAGTATAAAGAACAGCGTCAATTCCACGAGCTTCTAACTGTCCTTGTAGCCAATCTGAGACTGCCGAAGGCATTGACACCAGTTGAGGATACTTCATATTCTAAAAACGCAAATACTCTACCTTCTAGAACCCTTTCAATTACATCCTACTTACATTATAAAAAATGGTGGAGTGCAACCTCGTTACTGAGCGGATTTATCGATATCTTCTTTTTGATGGATTGCCAGAAAGTCACTTGAGAACTATCCTTGTTGAAATACATTATTGGAAAAGCTGCTGCACCTTCATTGTTACGTCGAAAATAAATTAGGATGGTTAGTGTTCACTGTTTGAATCGGGTTTCGATTTTTTCCATTGTACTGTATCTGCAAAATAAATAGTAAGATAACTTAAGATGTTGAGGCTAAAAATGGTTCATAATAATAATAAAATATGTATTGCGGGGCAACGAAGGGTATGTCAAATAATGTTAGGGGAAAACTTGCGAATGTCAGTACCTTACTAAAGGATGCCTGTCATTGCCTGCAAGAGAAAACTTAATCTAAAATACTAAAACGAATGCAGAAGTAGATATTTCCAATGGTTATTTGAACTAAAACTCAAATATGAAAATAGTTAACATTGGGGTAACTAGAATGAAAGTTTAGGGGGGCTACTACAGTCCCCAGTAGTCTAGAAAGAATAGTATACTCCGTAGTAAGCTGTGTGGCGGGATGAAATTGTTATGATTTTTTCAAGGGCTATCCAAAAACCAACGAAAATTTTGTTGAAATATAGTCAACATTTCACTTCTCTAAACTTGGATATGATAAAAACACACACACACATACGTTCAAATAAATAAAATCAATGGATATCATATTCAGGTACTTCAGCACAGAAAAGCACACCAACACAGAAAGAATTTTATGGTAATTATATATTTTGGGTAGGCATTCACCAATGTTTCAAATTTTGACAACGACAAAAGACCTTTAACTGTACAAACTAGCGAAGGGAAAACAATAGTTGGAATGGGTAAAATGTAATAAGCAGCGTTATCAGAAAACTTAGTCGAAATGGACAGGTCAGAGGTCTCCTGAATAACAGCAAAAAAACATGACTAGTGTTGTCATTTTTTGAATTAGAATTCAATTGTACTTTTATCTGAAAAAGAAAAAAACGACAAAGTGACTTAAGGTGTAGAGTTCATAGCACTGAGGCTAAAAATAATACATCAAGGGCAACATGAAATAAAGTTTTTTTTCTTGAAGCGGGCATTTTTCCACAGAGTGAAGACAATACACACTATTAGTATTTTACCAGTGAATTCGGAATTTATTAATCATCACGTCCACTTTACTTTCAATTAGCCAAGTGATAAGGCCCTGTTGGGTACAACACAATTTCCCTAGATGCACTTTGATCTCTCCGCTCTTCAATTTCAAACTAATATTCAACAGGAAGGTCACAAGACTCAGTTATCTTTACAGCACACAAATGACTTTTTTAACACCGATAAGAGCCGATTTTTTTGTGTACGTTGTTTTATTTCAATAGACAGACACTACAGTCGGATTGCTAAAATATGTGACCTTGAGTACTCAAAGTAATCACTCCGAAAGTAGAACAAGTAAATTCCGACGATTCCATGAATTTCGCCTAGTGTACGAACCTTTCAAAATACGACTACGATTATAGAAGACAAATGCGCCATTTCTAATTGCACAACAAACACACTTCGAACACTAAATTCCTCGGATCAATTCAGGCAGGTATTAAAATTCGTCGACACTGGCTGGGTGATACAAAAATTCTTACCTTTCAGTCCAAGGAAGTAGTTAATTTAAAGTTCTTCAACACGCCTCTCAACTTAGTAGAACATGGCAGCAAGGCGCTACGGCCACTCGTCTTTCCACTGCCAATGAGGAATGATCCCGCTCAAACTGCGCTTGGCCAAAACTAGAGAAGAAACTGCGCCTGTCCGGACATAATTTTTATTGACTTCTCTTGGAGTTTTGGTAATTAGGGTTCAAATAAGTAGGTACCTTCGAAGAATTTCGAAAATTTGTATAGGATTATCTCACGGGTTAAATGTTTTTACTTGTAAAACTGCACAGAAACTGAAATACTGAATTTTATTTATTTTCAGTTGAGATCTACCGAACCTACCTTTTTCAGAGCTACGTTGCCAAATTACCAAAACTTCCAGATCGATTCTAATGAATGACGATTAGTATACATTTTCGCGTACTATTTTGTTTTTATCGGTGCACAAGAAAAATCGTATTTCCTGAATTATTACTTTCATTTTTTATAATACTTGCAGATATGTATCCCTTCCTCACGTATTTTTTTTCATTTTTCTAAAAAAAAACAGCATTCTGGATATTGGAAATCTATTAACGTCCAATTCAGTTACAAAATATATATTCATGGACGTTCGAAATCCCGATGTTAATAAAAGATCCATCGATGAGGAGTGCGGTAATTTACTGACCAGAAGAGTCGCCCAAATATTCCATTGCAATTTGAATAATACATTCATATTCAAAAAGGTACATAAATTTCACTCGATACTGATGCCAACAATCATAAAAATGCAATCTACCCTTTCAATGGGGGTTGTTTACTCTTGTGATTTTTTGAAATGATTTACTGACTATATAAGACCTTCCCACTGTAATATTTCGAGGAAACTTCATATTTATATATTTCTTTTTATCTTATTATTACCACCAATAAGGTAAGTTGAATATCCCCCTTTCGAAGGGTTGTTTACTCTTGTGATTTGTAATATTTTGTAATATTTTGCAGCTTTTCTATTGGAATATTTTGACCAAACTTCATAATAATATCTCTCGATATGCTATTATTAACTTCACCACGAAAAATTGAAACTATTCCTTTTGGGGGGTAGTTTCCTCTTGTAATTTTTGAGTACATTTTTCTCGAACCATTTTCCCTGTAATTTTCTATAGCTTTTGAATTCAAAAATTGTTTTATCAAAAATAAAAATTAACCATCCTAACCTCCCAACCTAGCCTAACTTGACCCCCACAGGGAGTAAATTCAAATTCTCTCATTGGTGGCAATGTTTGCTCATCAGGAGAGATAAATATTCTTTTATAACATAAAAATGACCTATTTCAAAATTAAGATTCCAATGAATAACGAAAAATATTCTTTGAAAAACATTTTTTGTGGAGGATTCAAAACTTCTGACTTCCTTCTTCCTTCCACAATCCTAAAAATAAATGCAGAAATTCCTAAAGGACTTGAATATTTTGACTTTGAATCTTTTAATTTTCTTGTAGAGATTGCTATTTCATCTGATTTCTGCATGGAAAACCGGTGACGAACTTTGAAATGTGAAATTTGGTGTTATCACCATTATCGGATTTCTCCAGTTCTGATTGTTCTGATTTTCAGCATCAATTTTGGATTTTTCTAATGCGTATCTATTACAAAATCACCTGGTTCTCCTGTTCTAATATACGCGCCAATGCTTAATCTACTTTCATCTGAGCCTCTATCTCAAGCTTAGGGTTCTACTTGCTCTGGACTTTTTTCTCGTAGAACTTTCCTTGATGGATGTCTTCCTGTTTCTAATACTCACATTAATGTTTAGCTTCACTATTCGAACACATATATTCGTGAGAATTTTCGAATATGAGCGTGTTATTCCTATTATGAACGTCCTAATAGGTAGTCTTTTTCTGGTCAGCAAAGTCTTCCTATATGTTATATGTCTCAGTAAGTTGTAAGCACATGGAAAACTTTATCATTAATTTTAGGGAAAAAAAATCTTCATGAAAAGTTATGCAAAGATTAAAACCAATAAAATACATAGATAGTTATCTAATTATTTCAATCAGTTTGCCAAAAAATATTCTTGTTTTTATTCATTCCAAGTGAGAGGTATATGTTTATATAACAAAATGAAAATTAATTCATGAAGAAGAAAAAACTAAACCAGATTTTTTATTGTAAATTGTTGAAATTGCATTTCTCAACATAATTTTCAATTCTTATCAACTTTTCTCATTAACAACTTTTGGTATTATCAAAAATACAAGTACTTTGGTACATTAGTTCTCATAGCTTTAGTTGTGGCAGGTGAAGTGATTAAAGGTGTGTGTGTGTGCTGACCACTGATTGTTTTCCGTAAAGAGGGCACTTTTCTGTCGCGATAAAATGCTATTGATACATCCTATGGATGTCTCGGGTAGTTATTAAACTGGGAGGCCAAAGTTATCGTTGCCGAAGTTACAAAAAAAAGGTTTCGTCGGTTTCTTGAGTACCAGAGTATTGTAAAAGTGCGTATTAAAAAAACACAATTCAATGTAAAATTTCCACTTGACAGTTCACAAAACCACGACACGTGTTTCAGTCCTGTGATGTCTGAAGATGTTATTGTATATCGAAACACGTATCACAATTTTGTAAACTGTCAAATGGGAATCTCACATTGAAGTATTTTTTTAAATACTTTATGATGGATTCTCATCAATTATCATTCAGTTCCTTCATATTTTTTTTTACAAAAGTGCAATCGATTCAAAATTGTTGTATATAAAGAAAATTATGTTATGTCTGGCAACGCCGCGCCGATCCAATGACGGATAGAGGAGCGGGGCAGAGTTTTGACATTACAGTTAAGTATTTAGAGAATACTTATTTTTATTCTCTACCGGCTTTTAAAAAATAAATCTTTTTCAGGGACGACTACTATCATTCATGATTATATGAGAACAAATTTTCACCCAAATTTGGACATAACTCAAAATATACTTTGTATATTATTGCAAATAACATTATTGTTTGCGGCGAGAAAACCACACCAGTTGGTTTAACATCATCCAATTTAATAATTGTAAAGGTAAAGATGATGAAATTTTGAATGGTGTTACTGTTGAAAAATTGGGACCATCAGAGAAGACATAATTGAGTTTCCTTTCTTATTTTTACCGCGTGCGCTTTAGCAAAAATGAAATAATTCGTATACACATGGCTACAGTAAAAATAACAGTAGAAATTACTAAAATTCAGCAACAAAGGCTACTTTTCCAGCTCTATGTCGAAAGCAGGTATAAACGTTAGTCCAAGAGCCAGGGTCGTTCTAGGAAGTCATAAATGCAGGCAAGATTCGGATTATGAGATAATAGTGTAATTTTCCATTCGAGAGAGAATTTGAAAATATATTTTGAGAGGGCACCAAAAGTTTATATTTATCCATTGATTCACTATAGGTATATATATGAAGCAATTTGAAGTAATTCAGAAAAATATTCTGAAGATCATATGTGGTAAGCCTCAACGCTATTCGTCGGATTCACTGTTTTCGGAATGTAAAATTTTGGATGTAGGTACGCCAACTCTATTTCCTAAGAACAGGTACACAAACATTTCAACAAAAAAGTTCTTTATTACTGATTATAACCATAGATATGACACAAGACTAAAAACAAAAAAATATGTGAGGGTTCCTTTTCAAACGAAAACAGTGGGGAGAAGCTTCAACTACATCTCGCCAATACTTTTTAATTACCTCCCAGACGAAATAAAATACCAAAAATCATTATATTCTTTTAAAACTGCCATTAAAAAGTTTTTATTTGATACACTTCGAAACGATATTCATTGCCTGATAGATCCTTTGACGTCTAATTAATTTACCGTAATCTCAAATTTGATATGTATGTGTATGTTGAGTTCAGAACCTTTTTTTGAAAATGTAATTTGTGAATTGTATTGGATAAAAATCAATTTCATTTTATAATAATAATTGTACTATTCATGTGTTTCTTTTACCTTTATGTGCATGTATATATTTCACTAATTTTCTTTTCTCTCCTTTACATCTTTTGTATTCACCATATATCAGGATAATCTCATTAACCATGCTCATGCGCACTGGCTCTGCCTTAGCAGAGCACTGAAATTCTTTTTCTTTGCGAAATGCCTTAGAATGTGAAAATATTTTATATTTTACCTGTTTGTTTGTACTGCAATAAACATTATTATTATTATATAATTTGTTCGTTTATATTTGTGGGTTGGATGCTGCTTATAAGAAATACATGCAAACAACTTCTTATGTGTTTCTCAAATCACTAAAGTGGTAACGACAAAAACTATATTCTAAATTTGTGTACTGGGAATCCAAGAAGATCAATATAAAATCACTAAAAATTCTCCAGTGAATTAATCATAAAATTTTTGCTTCAACTCCCTTTTCTTCATATCTAGTAGCTAGAATGCTAACTTAGGTAACGTATAGGGAATAAAAAATGAGCTATACACAGCTATATATTTTGGGGAATAACAGGATTCGTATTCAGAAGCAACATGGGGTTGAAAGTGAAGTTGCTAATGATCAAAACCGTCTACATGCCCATAATACTGTATGCCTGCACTGCCTGGGCAAGTGCGCACAGACATACAGGAAGCAGATACATTCGTTTATGAACGCGAGCGTAAGGGCCGCCGTAAACGCGCCGTACTATATCCCAAATAGATACATATACAGAGACTTAGACCTGGACACGCAATATGTGGACGTGTATATGAGAGAACACGCAGAAAGCGTGTTCGATAGAATCAGATCGCACAACAACCCAGCGCTACGCGATCTACACGATGCGTTGAACTTGTATAGATTTTATCTAGAATGGTTGCGATTCCACCTCGTATATGTGTGAATTCGTATC